TGTGTATATGAAATATGTATCATTAATAATAGTCTTTTAACTTAGTGTCTTAGATATGTAGTAACCTAAAATTTTGTGATGTAGAAGAAGAAAAATATTGAAAAAATCACATATATTATTCCATATTACATTGTAAATATGGTGACTAAAAACTATATTAAGCTTTATTATATAATATCACTTATTAACTATATATATACAATATTTGTCATTAATCAATAGTCTTTTAACGTATTTTCTTAGTGATGAAGTTACCTAAAATTTGGTGATGGAGAAGAAGAAAAATATTGAAATTGTTTACATCTATTATACCATAATACAATGTGAATATGGTGAATAAATATACTATCTTGCCTCATTATATAGTTTTAATTATTACGAACGTATATGAAATATGTATCTTTATTTAATAGTCTTTTAACTTAGTTTCTTAGTGATGATGTAACCTAAAATTTGATGATGTAGAAGAAGTAAAATATTCAAAACTATTTACATCTATAATTCCATAATACAATATGAATATGGAGAATAAATATACTATCGATTCTCATTATAAAATTTTAAATATTACCTTTGTATATGAAATATGTATCATTAATAATAGACTTTTAACTTAGTATCTTAGCTTTGAAGTAACCTAAAATTTTGTGATGTAGAAGAAAAATATCGAAAAAATCACATATATTATTCCATATTACACTGTAAATATGGTGACTAAAAATTGTATTAAGCTTTATTATATAATATCACTTATTAACTATATATATACAATATTTGTCATTAATCAATAGTCTTTTAACGTATTTGCTTAGTGAAAAAGTTACCTAAAATTTGGTGATGGAGAAGAAGAAAAATATTGAAATTGTTTACATCTATTATACCATAATACAATGTGAATATGGTGAATAAATATACTATCTACCCTCATTATATAGTTTTAATTATTACGAACGTATATTAAATATGTGTCATTATTTAATAGTCTTTTAACTTAGTTTCTTAGTGATGAAGTACACTAAAATTTGATGGTGTAGAAGAAGTAAAATATTCAAAACTATTTACATTTATAATTTCATAATACAATAGGAATATGGAGAATAAATATACTATCGATCCTCATTATAAAATTTTAAATGTTACCTTTGTATATGAAATATGTTTCATTAATAATAGTCTTTTAACTTAGTGTCTTAGCTATGAAGTAACGTAAAATTTTGTGATGTAGAAGAAGAAAAATATTTAAAAAATCACATATATTATTCCATATTACACTGTAAATATGGTGACTAAAAATTGTATTAAGCTTTATTATATAATATCACTTATTAACTATATATATACAATATTTGTCATTAATCAATAGTCTTTTAACGTATTTTCTTAGTGATGAAGTTACCTAAAATTTGGTGATGGAAAAGAAGAAAAATATTGAAATTGTTTACATCTATTATACCATAATACAATGTGAATATGGTGAATAAATATACTATCTACCCTAATTATATAGTTTTAATTATTACGAACGTATATTAAATATGTGTCATTATTTAATAGTCTTTTAAATTAGTTTCTTAATGATGAAGTACACTAAAATTTGATGGTGTAGAAGAAGTAAAATATTCAAAACTATTTACATTTATAATTTCATAACACAATATGAATATGGAGAATAAATATACTATCGATCCTCATTATAAAATTTTAAATATTACCTGTGTATATGAAATCTGTATCATTAATATTAGTCTTTTAACTTAATGTCTTAGCTATGAAGTAACCTAAAATTTTGTGATGTAGAAGAAGAAAAATATTGAAAAAAATCACATATATTATTCCATATTACACTGTAAATATGGTGACTAAAAACTATATTAAGCTTTATTATATAATATCACTTATTAACTATATATATACAATATTTGTCATTAATCAATAGTCTTTTAACGTATTTGCTTAGTTATGAAGTTACCTAAAATTTGGTGATGGACAATAAGTAAAATATTGAAATTGTTTACATCTATTATACAATAATACAATGTGAATATGGTGAATATATATACTATCTAGCCTCATTATATAGTTTTAATTATTACGAACGTATATGAAATATGTGTCATTATTTAATAGTCTTTTAACTTAGTTTCTTAGTGATGAAGTACACTAAAATTTGATGGTGTAAAAGAAGTAAAATATTCAAAACTATTTACATTTATAATTTCATAATACAATATGAATATGGAGAATAAATATACTATCGATCCTCATTATAAAATTTTAAATATTACCTGTGTATATGAAATATGTATCATTAATAATAGTCTTTTAACTTAGTGTCTTAGCTTTGAAGTAACCTAAAATTTTGTGATGTAGAAGAAGAAAAATATCGAAAAAATCACATATATTATTCCATATTACACTGCAAATATGGTGACTAAGAACTGTATTAAGCTTTATTATACAATATCACTTATTAACTATATATATACAATATTTGTCATTAATCAATAGTCTTTTAACGTATTTGCTTAGTGATGAAGTTACCTAAAATTTTGTGATGGAGAAGAAGTAAAATATTGAAATTGTTTACATCTATTATACCATAATACAATGTGAATATGGTGAATAAATATACTATCTAGCCTCATTATATAGTTTTAATTATTACGAACGTATATGAAATATGTGTCATTATTTAATAGTCTTTTAACTTAGTTTCTTAGTGATGATGTAACATAAAATTTGATGGTGTAGAAGAAGTAAAATATTCAAAATTATTTACATTTATAATTCCATAATACAATATGAATATGGAGAATAAATATACTATCGATCCTCATTATAAAATTTTAAATATTACCTGTGTATATGAAATATGTATCATTAATAATAGTCTTTTAACTTAGTGTCTTAGATATGTAGTAACCTAAAATTTTGTGATGTAGAAGAAGAAAAATATTGAAAAAATCACATATATTATTCCATATTACATTGTAAATATGGTGACTAAAAACTATATTAAGCTTTATTATATAATATCACTTATTAACTATATATATACAATATTTGTCATTAATACATAGTCTTTTAACGTATTTGCTTAGTGATGAAGTTACCTAAAATTTTGTGATGGAGAAGAAGTAAAATATTGAAATTGTTTACATCTATTATACCATAATACAATGTGAATATGGTGAATAAATATACTATCTAGCCTCATTATATAGTTTTAATTATTACGAACGTATATGAAATATGTGTCACTATTTAATAGTCTTTTAACTTAGTTTCTTAGTGATGATGTAACCTGAAATTTGAGGATGTAAAAGAAGTAAAATATTCAAAACTATTTACATCTATAATTCCATAATACAATATGAATATGGAGAATAAATATACTATCGATCCTCATTATATAATTTTAATTATTACTTGTGTATAAGAAATATGTATCATTAATAATAGTCTTTTAACTCAGTGTCTTAGCTATGAAGTAACCTAAAATTTTGTGATGTAGAAGAAGAAAATTATTGAAAAAATCAAAAATATTATTCCATATTACACTGTAAATACGGTGACTAAAAACTATATTAAGCTTTATTATACAATATCACTTATTAGCTATATATATACAATATTTGTCATTAATCAATAGTCTTTTAAAGTATTTGCTTAGTGATGAAGTTACCTAAAATTTGGTGATGGAGAAGTAGAAAAATATTGAAATTGTTTACATCTATTATACCATAATACAATGTGAATATGGTGAATAAATATACTATCTTGCCTCATTATATAGTTTTAATTATTACGAACGTATATGAAATATGTGTCATTATTTAATAGTCTTTTAACTTAGTTTCTTAGTGATGATGTAACCTAAAATTTGATGATGTAGAAGAAGTAAAATATTCAAAACTATTTACATCTATAATTCCATAATACAATATGAATATGGAGAATAAATATACTATCGATCCTCATTATAAAATTTTAAATATTACCTTTGTATATGAAATATGCATCATTAATAATAGACTTTTAACTTAGTGTCTTAGCTTTGAAGTAACCTAAAATTTTGTGATGTAGAAGAAAAATATCGAAAAAATCACATATATTATTCCATATTACACTGTAAATATGGTGACTAAAAATTGTATTAAGCTTTATTATATAATATCACTTATTAACTATATATATACAATATTCACTAGTGCAGAAATGACTTTTTACATCGGGTGAAATTGACTTTTTACATCGGTTCTGGGACCGATGTAAAGTCAGGTGATATAGTAAATCATGTACTTTTTACATCGGTTCTGGGACCGATGTAAAAAGTCCCTTTTTTACATTGGTTATAATATAAGAACCGATGTAAGAAACAGTTATTATGCACATTTTTTAAAAAATTGATCCAGTTTTTTACATCGGTTGGAAGTAATACCCGATGTAAAAAGTCCCCAGTGACGCAACTTTTTACATCGGTTATTACTCCCAACCGATGTAAAAAATCCCTTTTTGAAAGTTTTCACATCAGTTTTGAGTAATAACCGATGTAAAATGTATGAAATTTTTTTGGAATAGATTATTTATTTTCTGGGTTTCCCTATACAAATATAATTTGTACCTATTTTTTCATATTTTTCCAATATCAAACATATGAATTAAGGGTTAAAGAAGCTTGCGGTCCTAGGTTCAAACCATCGTAAATGGCAAAAAAAACATTAACCTAATTACTAACCTTGGCCGTTTAAAAAAAAAGGCTATTTTCCAAATTAAATGTGTAAAAATTAAAATAAAAAATAAAAACACAAGCCAAACAGAAGATACTAAATAAATAATAAAACACAAGCTTAATTATATAATCAATAGGAAAGAAATTACATATTAAAATCAATTTTTATTTTATGAAGAAAATGGTAATTGTGTTAATACTAATTTTTGCTGTACCAACTATGATTTTACTCGGTTAAGACATCCCTAGGCATGTAACCAAACACGGGTCACCGTAAATACTGTAAGCATCCTGTGCCCAGACAATCAAAATTCTAGGACATTTATAAAAATAGAAACCAAACACATCCTGTTTAGGAGTAGAAAAAATACTTACCACATGAAGTGATCTTCACAGCATATAGAACCTGATATAATTGAAAACCCAGCTCCTTTCCTTCACATAACAAGTAAATTACATATCTGTATTTAGCTAATAAGAGAAGGGGACAAAAGCTGATATTATATTAAAACATAAACACAAAAGACCAACATATCTGCATTGTGTACATGTATGCATGACAGTAGCTAACTAGGTTAAATATTGAACAATCAATATTCTGATCCTGTTAAACTAAAAGTCGTAGGAGTCTGTGCTATCAAGCTCCCGCTTAGTGAAGCTTATTGCATAAACACTTTGATTAAACCACAATTTTTTAAAGCAAATTGATGAGATGAGAAATTGAAGATATCTACCATGTTGCAGTATACATGTCATAGAACTTTTCAAAGGCTTTATCGAAGCAATAGTGACAAACCAAGAGATCTTTGATGTCAGTGACCCTGCAAGTTGACTTGCAGCATTTAACCTACAGCAACATAAATTGACATGAGTGATTAGCTGTAGGGTGATGAATCAAGGTCGTCATTCAAAGGTGTGTTACAAGTAACACACACACACACACACACACATATATATATATATATATATATATATATATATATATATATATATATATATATATATATATATATATATATATGCATACATGATACCTGTTTAATGGTATCTCTTGGTTAATCATCTTGTTGTTGTTCAGAACGTGGAACAGATACATTCAAATGAAATAAATGTCAACAACTTTACTTTGTTTTCATTCACTTCCTTTCGGTAAAGGAGAAGAAGTGGAGTTAATGTTGTCGTTATCGGTCTCGCTTTGAGATGATAATCTAACTTCAGCTTGGTTCTCAGATGATATCTGTGCATTATCAATCTGCCTCACATTTTCTATCATCTTCACAACTTCGGACATCTTAGGTCTCTGATCCGGCATTCTTACCACACAAGACATGGCTATCTGCAACATCTCAACCATATCTTCTTCTATATTTGGATATCTCATCAACTCTAAGTCAAATACTTCAGCCGTCCACTCCTCTCGCACAACCGAATGAACCCATCTCACCAAGTGCACAAACTCATCACCACCAGCTGTGTGGATAGGTGATTTCCCGGTTAGAAGCTCTAGTAACACGACGCCGAAGCTGTAAACATCTGAAGGTTGTGCTGCTTTCCTAGTGTCTGTAACTTCTGGTGCTCGGTAACCAGCTGCTCGTGAGATGGGTAGAGCGAGCGAGGTTGAAATGGATGCCAGACCAAGATCAGATACACAACCGTATTGCTTAGTATTGAGAAAGATATTTGAAGACTTGATGTTTCCGTGTACCACTTTTCTGCTATTCTCAACATGGATGTGAGCAATGCCTCTTGCTGCACCTAAAGCGATTCTCAACCGAGTATTCCAATCTAAAGGCACCTTGTCTTCTCCTCTTTTCCCTGAAATTCTCAGAAACCAAAATGAGTACAAAAATTTTTATATACATTTGACTCAAGCATAGTAAACATATGAAATTGCAATTGGTTAAAATAATGGTTACATACCATGCAACAAAGAAGAAACACTCCCCTGACTGTAGTAATCATATACCATCAGTTTCTCGTCTTTCGAATAATAATAAGCTTTCAGCTCAACCACATTCTCATGTTTAAGACTTCCAACAATCTCCATGTATTGCTCAAAATCCTTCTTTCCATAGGCTACCTCCTTCAATCTCTTCACAACAACCGCAGTCGCATCCTCAAGAATCGCCTTGTAAGCAGTACCAAACGTTCCCTTTCCTAGAACCTCGGCGGAAGCTCTTAACAAGTCTTCTAAATCAAACGCATAATTACATCCCTCGAAGAAAGTCAGTTTATTATTAGCATCCATGTTCCTCGAAACTGCTTTCTCCGGAGACATTTTTCCTTATTCGACTTTCCAACAAATGCATCATCATCAAAATCATCTTCATCCTTTTTTATAGCACAACAACACACAAACATCAAAAAACCAAAAGCTACAAGCCCAAGAAAACTCCCAACAACAACAATTCCAAGCACCGCCGCTTCACTTAGCCTCCCACATTTCCCCGAGGTCGAAGACGCATCATAAACCGGCGAAGGCACGGGCGGAACAACAGTATAATTTCCAAGAGTTACATTATTCCCAACAAACGCTGAATCAGGAAACCTCCTTAACGATCTCGGCACAGTGCCATGTAAATCATTGTTAGACAAATTCAGCGTCTGCAACCTCGACAAATTCAGATCAGGAATATCACCAGAAAGATCATTACTCGCAAGGTTCAAACCCGAAAGCTGAGTCAAATTCGAAAGCGAAACAGGAATACTCCCATTGAACCTATTACTAGACAAATTAACAACAGTAAGATTATTCCAAGCTGAAAAATCAGGCAAAGACCCAGACAAATTGTTAAACTGCATATAAAGAAAGGACAAATTTTTCAAATTAGAAAAATCAGAAGGAAAAAACCCAGTAATGAAATTGGATCTAAGACTCAAAATCTAAAGCTCTGAAAGATTGCTAATAGTATGAGGTGGAATATTTCCATGAAACCCAACACCGGGTAACCGAATCGCTATAACTCTAGACCTATCCTCATTGCAGGTTACACCAGTCCAATTATCACAAACTGAGAAACTCTCATTCCAATTCAGTGTCCTTGAAGGTGGAAACTTGTTCACAAAATCGTTGAGGGTTGGAGGAGAGACGAGAAAATGGCAACGGTGGGCGTCGCGGCGAATGAAGTCGTTGAGGGTTTCAGGAGAAAATGTACAGTGTTCGAGAATGTGGGTTTTTTCAATTTTGGATTTTGTTTTTATAATTTTTTACATCGGTGGAACGTCCAACCGATACAAGCGGTTGGCTTTTACATCGGTGGAAAGTCCAACCGATACACGCGTTTTATATGATTTTTTAATATATTTTATATATTAATTCAAGCGAGCATTTTTTACATCGGTTTTTCGTTAAACTGATGTAATATCTTGCTTATATTTTTTTTTACGTTTTTGTCACCTTGTTTCTTATTTACAAAAATGCCACCGTGTTTTTTTTCTGGAAATCTTTTACATCGGTGGATGAGATTGCCCGATGTAATAGGTGGCAAAAAAATTTTTTTCTTTATTTTTTATATCAGTGCAAATAAATACCTGATATAAAAAGTTTGTTAATTATATTTTTTACATCACATATTTTGATACCCGATGTAAAAACTTTTTCTCAAATGTCTTTTTTTTAGTAGTGATTTGTCATTAATCAATAGTCTTTTAACGTATTTGCTTAGTGAAAAAGTTATCTAAAATTTGGTGATGGAGAAGAAGAAAAATATTGAAATTGTTTACATCTATTATACCATAATACAATGTGAATATGGTGAATAAATATACTATCTACCCTCATTATATAGTTTTAATTATTACGAACGTATATTAAATATGTGTTATTATTTAATAGTCTTTTAACTTAGTTTCTTAGTGATGAAGTACACTAAAATTTGATGGTGTAGAAGAAGTAAAATATTCAAAACTATTTACATTTATAATTTCATAATACAATAGGAATATGGAGAATAAATATACTATCGATCCTCATTATAAAATTTTAAATATTACCTTTGTATATGAAATATGTTTCATTAATAATAGTCTTTTAACTTAGTGTCTTAGCTATGAAGTAACGTAAAATTTTGTGATGTAGAAGAAGAAAAATATTAAAAAAATCACATATATTATTCCATATTACACTGTAAATATGGTGACTAAAAATTGTATTAAGCTTTATTATATAATATCACTTATTAACTATATATATACAATATTTGTCATTAATCAATAGTCTTTTAACGTATTTGCTTAGTTATAAAGTTACCTAAAATTTGGTGATGGAGAAGAAGTAAAATATTGAAATTGTTTACATCTATTATACAATAATACAATGTGAATATGGTGAATATATATACTATCTAGCCTCATTATATAGTTTTAATTATTACGAACGTATATGAAATATGTGTCATTATTTAATAGTCTTTTAACTTAGTTTCTTAGTGATGAAGTACACTAAAATTTGATGGTGTAGAAGAAGTAAAATATTCAAAACTATTTACATTTATAATTTCATAATACAATATGAATATGGAGAATAAATATACTATCGATCCTCATTATAAAATTTTAAATATTACCTGTGTATATGAAATATGTATCATTAATAATAGTCTTTTAACTTAGTGTCTTAGCTTTGAAGTAACCTAAAATTTTGTGATGTAGAAGAAGAAAAATATCGAAAAAATCACATATAGTATTCCATATTACACTGTAAATATGGTGACTAAGAACTGTATTAAGCTTTATTATACAATATCACTTATTAACTATATATATACAATATTTGTCATTAATCAATAGTCTTTTAACGTATTTGCTTAGTGATGAAGTTACCTAAAATTTTGTGATGGAGAAGAAGTAAAATATTGAAATTGTTTACATCTATTATACCATAATAAAATGTGAATATGGTGAATGAATATACTATCTAGCCTCATTATATAGTTTTAATTATTACGAACGTATATGAAATATGTGTCATTATTTAATAGTCTTTTAACTTAGTTTCTTAGTGATGATGTAACATAAAATTTGATGGTGTAGAAGAAGTAAAATATTCAAAATTATTTACATTTATAATTCCATAATACAATATGAATATGGAGAATAAATATACTATCGATCCTCATTATAAAATTTTAAATATTACCTGTGTATATGAAATATGTATCATTAGTAATAGTCTTTTAACTTAGTGTCTTAGATATGTAGTAACCTAAGATTTTGTGATGTAGAAGAAGAAAAATATTGAAAAAATCACATATATTATTCCATATTACATTGTAAATATGGTGACTAAAAACTATATTAAGCTTTATTATATAATATCACTTATTAACTATATATATACAATATTTGTCATTAATCAATTGTCTTTCAACGTATTTTCTTAGTGATGAAGTTACCTAAAATTTGGTGATGGAGAAGAAGAAAAATATTGAAATTGTTTACATCTATTATACCATAATACAATGTGAATATTGTGAATAAATATACTATCTAGCCTCATTATATAGTTTTAATTATTACGAACGTATATGAAATATGTGTCATTATTTAATAGTCTTTTAACTTAGTTTCTTAGTGATGATGTAACCTGAAATTTGAAGATGTAGAAGAAGTAAAATATTCAAAACTATTTACATCTATAATTCCATAATACAATATGAATATGGAGAATAAATATACTATCGATCCTCATTATATAATTTTAATTATTACTTGTGTATATGAAATATGTATCATTAATAATAGTCTTTTAACTCAGTGTCTTAGCTATGAAGTAACCTAAAATTTTGTTATGTAGAAGAAGAAAATTATTGAAAAAATCAAAAATATTATTCCATATTACACTGTAAATACGGTGACTAAAAACTATATTAAGCTTTATTATACAATATCACTTATTAGCTATATATATACAATATTTGTCATTAATCAATAGTCTTTTAAAGTATTTGCTTAGTGATGAAGTTACCTAAAATTTGGTGATGGAGAAGAAGAAAAATATTGAAATTGTTTACATCTATTATACCATAATACAATGTGAATATGGTGAATAAATATACTATCTAG